TATAACTGAAATTGAACACATAGCTAGATTCTAAAGAAAGAGGTTGAAAGCTAGATGACTTGCAAACAGCACTGAGGACTTGAGAGGAAGCAGGAGGAGGAGTGCAGTCAAACTTATATAGACCATCACTCCCAAGGGAACCACTCAAAAGCACTTTAGAAGTACCCTGACATTTCACAAAATAGGCATTAGCATGGAACTCAAAGAATACAACATTATCTTTGGCAAACTGACTCATACTTAGCAGATTTTTAATAATGGATGGAACAAGAAGATTATTCAATTTTAAAGAAGTGTTAGGGCATAAATTTGAAGGAAAGGTCATAGAACCAAGAGAGGTGATGGATAAACCTTGGCCATTGCCAATGTGAACCTGATCATTACCGGGCAGAGATACAATATCAGTGAGATTTGTGGCATCTGGAGTCACATGATGTGAAGCTCCTGAGTCAAGATACCACGCCTGGTTGTAGAATGAAGAACAATCAGTGTCAGCAATCAATGCCTGAGGCCTGGCACCAAAGTACTGAGATGCCATGATTGGAGCCATAGGTCTAGCTTGGTTCACATTTGAAGGATTTGGAGCCCTAAATCCAGGTTGAGTCCACACATTTGGTTGACCAAAGCCAAAATTTCCAAATGAGGTAGGTGCACCATAAGGGGGATAGACACCATAAGAGTCTTGAGAGTGTCTATAGTAGCAGTAGCTAGCATCATGACCAGTTTTGTAGCATATCTGACATTGCATAGAGTTCCTGTAGCCATTACGACCACCACGTCCTCTGAACCTTCCACCTCTATTGCTTCTGCCACGAGAGTAGCTACCACGAGCATAGCTTTGGAAATTTCCACCACTAGAGTCAGTGATATCAGGGTTTTGAGGACTGAGATTGGAACTTTGCACATTACCTTGAGTAAGGTTCACAGAAATAGTCTGAACAACTTCTTTCTTGGATTTCTCCACTCTAGCTTCTTGTGTGAGGAGAAGCGATTCCAACTCATCAAGAGAGATGAACTCCGACTTAGAGTTAACAACAACAACAACAGAGTCAAATTCCGATGGTAACGCCTCAAGAATCAATTCAATTTGGTCACGATGAAGGACCAGATCACCAATTGACATTGACGTATCTACGATAGTGCGAACGCGAGCAAGAAATTCAGAGATGGTTCTAGTACCCTTGGAGAGGGAGCGAAGCTCCGATCTGAGTTGACGAGACTGAGTCTTCATTTGCGTATGGCAAAACGCATGAATTTCTTCCCAAACTTGCCATGAATGGCGAAGAAGAACGAATCGAGAGAGGAGCGAATCGGAAATCGTGGATAGCAATCACGTACATAGCAGCGCATCCTGTTCTTCTCACGCGACGTAGCTAGGGTTCTCACTTCCGGCGTCGCGATCGGCAACAGTGAGGTATCGTTCCGGTACTTGAGTTGATACGACAAATCACACCATTTTTGTGTCGCGAAGAACTCCTTCGACTTGTTGTTTCCACTGTCGATAGTTGTTCTCATCGAGCTTGACTGAGATCTTTTGTTTGAAGGTAGAGTTTGCAGCAGCGGAGCTGTCACCGCTTGCGGTGGTAGACGGCGACAGAGAAGCCATGCGCGCCGAGGATCAGAGATAAGGTCTGATACCATGTTAGAATTCCAGAGAAGAGAGAGTATAGAGAACTAGAAGAGAGAGAGATTGTATAACAAAATTTGTAATTCCTCAACTAATTCAGTTACAACAGATCCTTTATATAGAAAGGATAAGGGATAGAAATGGAATTAGACACTAGTCTAATTCCCTTTTGCTAGACTATTACCAGATTACCCTTATATCTCTAATAAGATCTTGTATACACTAATGGAGCCAGAGACACCAGGTGAAATAGTTTGAAGAGGCTCTCCTTGAAACAATAGGCGATGAGGTACTTCACTCTTTAGTGTATATGATGACATTCTGTTTATCAGATAATCAGAAGTGAGCAAAATAACACCTTACAATTTTACTAGTGTATTGACACCTATCAAAAGGGTACAAAATAGTTTAATGATATGACACTATTTAATATTAAAACTTCGAAACTCTTAACAATAATACCTATCATTAATAGTTTTAGAAATGTCCTATTAATAATATTCTCTGTGCATTTAACAGCATTGCGGAATGTTCAGTGTTCAACTCCGTGATTAAACCAACATACATGCTAACATATGAGAGTGCGTCAGAGTTACTCCATTTGAACCTCGAGGAGGAAGCTGAACTTAGAATTTTGTCTGAGGCTGCAAATCTTCGGTTAAAATGGCGTCGCCAGCAGGTATATTTTAGTTTCTTCTTAAACATTTTATCGTAAACTTTTTGTTTTTAATGTACGTATGGTTTTTCTTCTGCCCTTTTTATAAAAGGAGGTGCTTCTTAGGTCTGCTTCTTGGGACAAAGATAAATTATTTAATCACATTTGAGAAGATCTTCTAGTTAACATCATCACTGATTAATAATTCATAGCTTTGCAGGTTTCATAACTGCCTAAATTAAGCATCACCTGAAACATGTTACTTAAAACATCCAACATGGTTATTATTTAATTTGTCCGGGCCTCCAGGAGCTTTGGTCTATCCCCATGAATCTTAAAATTTTATTACTCTCAAATAAGCGATGAAAAACTGCATTTGTATTTTATATTCTGTGTTATTAAACAATGCAATTACAATATTGTCAACTGATAGCATGGTTCAATGTTCACATATTTGCCTCTTTGTATGCATTCATACAAATCACTTTAGATAGCTCCATAGTTAAAAGTACCGAAAGTGTACAGAGGCCGGGGTTTTTTGAATTTAGAAATTTGTACTTAATTTGTTGAGTTAAATATTGTGAGAATTTATGGGCCTGTCTATTGGGTAATAGTTTTAGCTGAATGCTTGAGTATAAATATTGCTTAGTAATTGAAACCCACAGTCATGAATCCTTAATGACATTATGACTTGTGGAATTAGCTATTATTTAAAAAAACATATGAATTAGCTGAAGCTTTTGAGATTTACCAGCGTCTGACATTTTGGGATATCTTTCTCTGCCTTTGTTAAGGGTGCAGTTGAGACAACAACAATAGAAACTCGCATCAAAGTGTCTAATCCAGAGGATCCAGAGCCATCAATAAACCTTTATGTGGAAAACCAGGCAGACCCTGCAATGCGACTAGTCTCTGAGATGATGATACTTTGTGGCGAAGCTATTGCCGCATTTGGATCTCGGAATGGCATTCCTTTACCCTACCGAGGACAACCCCAATCAGATATAAATCTTTCTGAATTTTCCCATCTTCCAGAAGGGCCTGTTAGGAGCTTTGCCCTGATCAAGATAATGCGTGCAGCTGAATTTGATTTCTGGAAGCCTGCACGCCACGGGATTTTGGGAGTCCCTGGCTATGTTCAGTTTACCTCTCCCATCCGCAGATATTTGGACCTTGTTGCTCATTATCAGGTATGTTGCTTTCAATTTCTATAATTGCATAAAACAACAGATTACATGCCTTGATGCTTCTAGATGCCTGCTATGAAATTGTTTGACAAATCAGCAAGAATCATCAAATTGATGGAGACTAGATTAAAAAATGTGAAACAAACTGAAGCTTATTAGTTCCCTTCACAAGGGACTGTATGCAGAATGTGACGCTTTTAAGCTCTAATATTTTAGTCTTTTTTTGAATATATTGGTCGCCATACTCATTCCAACACGTCTTTTGCAATGTGATTAGCTTCATCTTGGTATTTTCTTCTAAGATGTTTTTCTGTCTGTTTTGGTTGTGTCCGGAATGATTTTTTTTCCATAGCTAAAGGCATTTCTTAGAGGTGAGTCACCGCCTTTTACCTCTGCTAAACTTGAAGGGATATCAGCTAATGTAAATGAGAAAGTTAGAGCAGCGAGGAAGCTCTGCAACAGCAGTCTCCGTTACTGGATATTAGAATATTTCCGAAAACAACCAAAAGAGAGAAGCTACCGTGCTTTGGTCCTTAAATTTGTGAAAGATCGGATTGCAGCTCTGTTATTGGTTGAGGTAAGCAGCTAATGGTTCCTATTATGTAATGTTTTTCACAGGGCACGCCATTCATTAATTGTCCTTCTAAGGCATGAATCACAAGAGTCTTTTACAATTCTCAATTAAACTTCTCTAATTCCTTAGGTGAATAAAATGCAGACCTTTAACAGTTCTTATTCGCAGGAATCACAAGATCACACCTTTTACAATTCTTATTCCTAGGAAGTTTTTAATTATGCTTTTTTTACTTAAGATCTAAGACACATCACATGACTGTGTTTAGATAACCTCGGATAATGCTCTTACAGTGTTTTTACACCATGCCATTGTGATATTGTATTGTTTTGAATCCTTAAGATGATTCTCATTTGCAGGTTGGATTTCAAGCTACTGCTTGGGTCTCAGTTGGAACACAGATAGGGGATTTAGTAATGGTTAAGGTTGAAGGATCACATCCACGCGATGATATTATTTATGTAAAGGAGGATATATGAGGTTGACTTAAGAGATATGTTCTTGAAAGCTCCCTATTTTAATGTTCAACAGTTTGTTCAAAAGGCTAAGCTCAGTTCAATATTTATATCAACTCACACATGAACCATACTCTTTCCATTTAAGAGGACGGCCTTGTTGAATCTCACTCAGCTTGGCTATTTTGGCGCAACATCGTCTTTTGCATGAAAGTGAGATCAAGCATCGCTGGCCAAGTTTAACATTTTAACATTTAAGCTGTTCAAATGTTTTAAGAGTATATTTTCAGGGAAGGACATGAATGTTTAGGCCTCTTTCATCTTGTAGTGGCCGAAAGTTAGCTGGTTTTCTCCCCATTTGATAGCTTTCGTGTTTTTGTTGATTCGGTAAGATGTCTCTGATAGAGATGGTGGTAGTCATACATCACTAAAGTGAGCTTTTTCTCTCATCTTTTGCTGAAAATTCATGGCTGAGGGATTTTGTTTTTGTTAGATTTGTATAATGATAATAGATAGCGGATTTCGAACCTTATCCCACTATGACTCAGAACTTTTATATTTCACACGTAAAATCACGAAGCCACCTTCTAATATCTGGGATTTGATGTTCCTAATTTACATTCATCCTTCTAACCTTTTGCCTTTTATCCGACATATGCCTGCTCTTTACAATTTGATACAAATATGTAATTCAGTTTTTTCGCTGTTGTAATCTCAAAAACACTTAGTTCCATACAATTGGAAAAGTTTTAATGACCAATGAAGAAGATTCTCAAGTCAATCTTGTATGAAAATTAAAATAATGGAATGTGATAGAAATTGGCTTTTGATAAATTTTATTTCTGGTCTCTTTCAAAATCTTTATTTTTTATAATATCCTTAAAAATGAAAATATGAATCATATATTTCCCTTTCTCCCACTTAACACGCTACTCTAAAACAAATGGTTGATGATGAGTGCCACTTGGACTCATTCCTCTACATAATTGAAGGGAATTGCTTCTCCAAGGAAGGTCTCTACAACAAAGAGATATGCCAATTAGCGGCACACTTACTATAAACCTCTTTTCGTTAAATCCTATAACAACTCTTATCTTAGTGACTCTTCTCAAATCTCTTTAGGGAGTGAATGACTCTTGGGTATGGCGGAAGAAGAAAGAATAAGTAATAAATACGACTAGACTTTTAGCTTGAAGGTGGGCTTTAGTCTTTTAACAACCGATCTTGCGACATCAAGTTGTCAATCCGGGCATCGACTTGCCTTTTTTTAAGGACTTTAAAGTGGTTGAGAAACCCCTCAAGGAAATTCGAAAATATCCTTTAGAATTTGGAAATGTATAAGTAGATTCACCTTTTTTTTTCTTCATTAAGACACGTTTAAAATGAGTCATCTATTTTTTCTAAAATTTAATCTGGAGATGTACTTTAACATTCATCTTATACACAATTTCATGCATTACTAATTGAATCACATTCATTTTGAGATAAAATGGCTTGGAGATTCATCTTTGTATTCACTCTAGATAGAATAAAAATATGGAAAGTATTCACTCTAGATGAAATACAGATATGCATTTCCATATTCACTTTAGAAATAAATTTTGACTTTATTTTAAAGATAAACGTAATTAATGATGTATTATATTATTCTATCATATTTTAAATTTTATATAAACTAAATCTTATAGTTATCAAATAATATGAAAATGTCATATATAAATGAATAAATTCAGAATCTATAATGAAGTTAAATAGATTAAAAACGATAATAGTGCTCCTAATATAAATATTATATACTAATGTGTATGTCGAATCCAAACTCTCCTGTTTCTATATTGTCTTCTGTACTGCAATGTCGTCTGTGTTTTACTAAGGATGACATCTACAATATTCCACAAAGGCTTTTTGAATGACTCTTCCGTCTATACCTTCTTGCGCAATATGTATGGTACGCCGATATTTAGGAAACACATCAACAATATGATTTGTTCCAACACACTTCTGATCTAGTATCTCCTGATGAGATAGCTTAAGTGGATTTTCCGAAGTATGTTGTGGTTTCATATAAGAATGTGACAAAATACTATTAGATGACCGCATGCAACACTATATTCATTAGGAGATAAGGTACCTCGTGCGCCATCTGGTACCAAATAATTAAAGTAATCATCAAACATGAGATCTACATCTCCGTGTGCCATGACGAAAGGAGAAAAATTAGAGTGGTTTATAGGAACAAACTGCATGTAGTCGAATTGGTGCATGACATGCTTAAGCAAATGTAGATACATCATACATGCGCTCACAAACCAACCATTCAAAATATAAGGCTATGTTGTCCATGTGACATAATGTACGTCTGTAAATGTATAGGTTCTGATACCAAGCACTCAAGATATACTCTAAAGGGCTTCATAGCCTGATTCCCTATGAACGGGGTGAATGCAGAAGCGCATGGCATATTTTTAGTATAGGTAGGAACATATGACTAGCTGGATATATCTGGGAAGTGTTGGAGGATTCAAGTCTGAAAATGGTACATATGGATTATTAATAATAGGCCAACTCCCAGATAGGTCACCATCTACTCCACTCCCACATATTTGATAATCCTATTGTGGTCTAACAATCTTCCCATCGGAAGATGCAACGGACATTAGACATCGTCTAGTGTGATAGACATCTCACCATGTAAAGATGAAAAGATAACGCCTCAACGTTCTATCTCTATACAAACGTGAACAACATACCATGGTTATTAGTAACATAACTGGTTCTACATAAGTTTCGCAGTCTATATAGCTGCATCACATCCCAAAACTGCTGCTCAATTAGCTGCAGCAGACCCACAATCTTTCGATCATGGTTAATGTATTTTAAAGCATCACGATGCTGTAGAAAAATAAATCATCGTTAGAAAATTAATATATTATAACAAATGTGTTTCAAAGAATAAATACAATTGAATTTTACCTCTCTGTCCCACACATTCATGGCACCATGGTTTGGATATAAAAGCAGTAGCGATAAGTCGGACGAACCTCCTTCAAACCCTATAGTGCTTGGGGTGCCTACGGTGTCTGGACATGTACCAATGGTGCGTCTAGGGCCTCAGGAGGTGACACAAGCCTTATACGCGTAAATGAAGGTGGAGATGCATGAGCCGCAGAAGTTGACACCTCCGCATCAACCTAACTAAAACCACACGGTGATTGCGATTATCAGACTCTTTTTCTCCGAACCAATGCATGATGCACAACTCCATCGTGCCTCAATCTAGCTTGGTTACCAACCATAAAGTTTATAATCAAATCACACAAGCATTATACAGATAAAACACAATGAAAATAAAGCCAAATGATGCACAAACTAAGTACAAAAATGCATTTTCGAATTTTGGAAAATAAAAAATGTTGAACAAATTGGGAAGTGCATTTCCGTATTGTTCTGCAACTCAATGAAGAACGAAAATGGTAGAATTGCCTTTGAATCAAACATCCAAAAAATGCATTGATCTTCTAAAATACCTACCAAACACATTGCTCAGTTAAATAACCTATCTAAACTATCAATTACATAATCTAATGGTCAATTTCTACAAATTTATAGAGAAATAAAAAATGTATAGAGAGATAAAAAACTCACCAAATGTGAGTTTGACGTTGAGCTCTTTGATCGATTAGATGTTGTTGGTAGAAACTTGGAGGTGAGTTGAATGAGTTTGAGAGTTTGTGAGTTGAAAGAGTTTGAGAGTTGAATGATTTGCGACTTTGGAGAGTTTGTGAGTTGAGAGAGTAAATGAGGAAGGAGAAGGGTCTGACGCGTTTTTAATTAAAAATGCGTTCGAAAATGTTTCTTATAAGTTATATGAAAATATATTTCTGTAGTAATTTTTGACATAATCTTAAGATCTGACTCAAAAGAGAATGAATCGTAGGTGCGTCTGAAGATGCATTTTTAAATTTTAAGAGTATTTTTTATTTTTCACTAAAATGGAAGAGTAATGCTTAAGGTGAAAAAAAATCCCTAATCTAAATACTTGATTAAAACCCCCAAAACATGCTTTTTTAACATCTCAGAGCCATAAGAAGCATAAAAAAATATCTCGGAGCACAAAAGAAGCATAAAAAACATCTAAACTAAATAAATATGGAATTTTGATTTTTTTTCTTTGAATATCGCCCAACTGCAAAAATATTGTCTTATTTTATATATGAAGAATGCTATAACATACCCATTCATTCTTATAAAAGTGTCATAAGCCTTTGTTAATTAACCATTAAAGATTCTTCTCTCTCCTGAACTTCTCTTAAAATCATAATTATTTTTAAGACTTATTTTCTCTCTTTTTTTTTTTAACTAATCATTTTGATACATTTATTCTAAATAATTAAAAAAAATAAAAACTCATAGGTACTAGTGTTTCATGCTTCAGGAAAGAATTTGGAAACATATAATTTTAAGCCATTAAAATAAAATAAAAACTCAAAAGATGTCATTTGAGAAAATAATACGTATCTGAGCAATGGCTCTGTGAGACCACTTTAAGAGTTCTCTATTTTATTATGAATTTGGTTTGCTATGAAGAATGAAAATTAGAGATATATAATAACTTTGGAAAAGAAGATAAAAAGAATGTTTTTTAGTTGGCATGAGAGATACAATATCGAAAAATGATATAAAATAAATTTAATTTTTTTAATTGTTTTTATTTATTTTATCTAAAATGATTGGTTAAAAGAAAGAGAGAGAAAATGAGTCTTAAGAATAGTTATGACTTTAAGAGAAATTCAGGAGAGAGGAGATTTTTTAGTGGTTAATTAACAAAACTATATGATGCTAATACACACCTTCATAACAATGAAAGAATATATTATAGCATTATATATAATAGCCTTAAAGGTTATGCAAAATTATCTAATACTACTATAAAATATACTTACACATAGAGGCAATGAAATATGTATATTAATGCAGCCATATCAAAATTCAATACAAACAGAAAACCATGCATTTGAAATCGTTGCGTTGAATCGTTGAATTGTACTCGGTAACACTATAAAACCATGCAATTGAAATTGTTGCGTTGAATATATTTGGAAGAGCAAGTATACTTACACAACGTTCATTTTGAAATTTGGAAAATAATGTACATACTTGTACAGTAATAATATAGTATATATATTTACAATACAAAGTATATATTGAAATTTGAAAAACAATTCTATCAATGGTAATTGATCTTATCGGTTGATCAGAACCTGAATATGGGTCTTGATGAAGACGTCTGTTTGGCTGAAAATATGAGGAAAGAAGGGAGGTGTACCTACAAAACACTCCGACGATCAAGTAAGAATGAGTGCAAAGTGATACAAGAAAGATATTAGGGTTTTTAGTATGAGTATTGGATACCTGTCCCTCACAAGTGTAAGAGTTTATATAGTTCCCCCATCACATAACTATTGGTCCCTATTTTTAGGCCTAGATATACGGATTCACAAAAATATGTAACTGCCATGACTTGGTCAAAATGAGCAGTCGTGTCCGTAAATAGTCGTTGCGTCGAGCAAGGATGAGATGACGAGCAAAAGCATTTATGAGCGTTTCCCGGACTTCTACTCTTCGTGTGTCGAGCAGACTGAGAGGTAGTTGTCCGCACGGGCAGACGTGAGTTTCAGGCATCGTTGGTCGCGCCGTTCGAGGGCGTGGTCG